CAATCAATCATTTGCCAAATCCGAAGCCGAAGCCGAAGCCGAGGTCGAGCGAGCGACGACGACGGCGCGAGGGGGCACCTTCTTCTTAACCCTTTAAGAAGTAAAGGAAGTGTTTCCTAATATAAGGACAACAATTTCCTCTCTTCTACCGATATGGTAAAAATGACTATTCATTTGCACTTTTGCAATGATTTTTCATTTTCCCTCCAAAATTGGTTCCCCCATTTTTCATTGGTTCTTCCACTTTCCATTTTCTCTTTTCATTTCCCATTCACTATTTCCCATTCATACCTTGCTAAACCCAACACATTTCACGTGCAGACTGATGGTAAGTCGAAGCGAGTCATTATGATCTTGCAGGACATTTTGAGATCATGTGCCATTGACTTTTTGAATTCATTGGATAATTAGTTACCTTTGGTGGAGTTTGTCTATGTAACAGTTACCAATCTAGTATTCAGATGGCGGTGTATTAGGCTTTGTATAGTAAGTGGTGTCGTTCTCCAATTAGATGGTTCAAACCAAGTGAAAGGAAGTTTATGACTTCCCATTGTGATAGTCATTGGGATGTAGTTGTTTGTCCTCTGTGATACATAAAGTAAGCTCTAGGTAAATGACTACTCTTTTGAGGAACGAGGCTTAAAACAACTGCTAAGAGAACTAAAATTTGTAGAAATAAAGAAGATGAAACTTGTGTGTGATAACCAAGCGGCCCTTCATATCGCATCAAATCCGGTTTTTCATTAGAGGACTAAGCACATTGAGATTGACTGTCACTTTGTCAGAGTAAAGCTATCCTCCGGAGATATTGTTATAAAATTTGTGAATTCAAGTGATTAGCTTGCACGTATCTTCACTAAGTCTCTCTTTGGTCTTCACATTAATTACATCTGAAATAAGTTCATTACATATGACTTGCATGCACCAACTTGAGGGCGAGTGATAGAATTTAAATAGGAATAGTATATGGAATTCTTTTTGGATAAGAATTGTAACGTAGTGTCTATAACTAGGGTTAAATGTAATCATGTACATACATAATTCATAATATGTTTCTCTTATATTTCTCACAAAAGGGAAAGACAAGTACTCAATAGTTGTGCCACCTTTCATCCTGAGTGGCCTTGATGTGATTTATCAATGAAGACTTGGCGTGAATACAAGACAATTATATTTTAATTCCTAACAATGGACCTAAACATGTTCCCTCAAGTCTAAACACATCCTTAGGCAAAAGTCTCATTGAAGAAGTTATATCTGACACACCATACTTGAACACTAACTTGGACATGCGTATCGCTTATACATATGATGAACTTAGTCATCTTGATGTGCAAGGATATATTTTTATTTGGCTGACGAGGTCATGTTGTGCTAAAATAAGAGTGTTTATGGACCAAAAAAATCGAAAAACACTTACTTATGGTAACAAATGAACTTGACCTAAGTTCCAAGACTTATAAATCTTAATCTAGGAATAATTTGATTATGCTTCCTTAAACAAACTTGAAGCCCTTGAAATAATTATAGAAAAATGAACTTGACCCTACGTGTCCAAATAATAAAGCGCCTCAAAGTTTCTTTAGTGTTCTTAAGAAATTTTATGTGCTACCTTAGATTAGGCTAAGGTGTCATGCCATATGCTTTTGCAATCCAATTTGGGATTTTTTGGCCAAAAAAAGTTAGTTTTGTCCGTGTATATTTGTTCATATCTCACTCCACTATACACATAGTTGGACCAATAAGAACCATACATATTCACAACCTTTAAAGGCCTGAGTTAGCCTAGTTACTACGACCATGATAATTATTGCCCTTTCCACTTCGAGATCTCAAGATTTTGAAGTAATCATGCGGGTTATCAATGCCCAACCTTCACTTGATATAAGTCAATAGTCAGAAACAAGTTTAGCAATCTCCGCTTTGATACATCTAAGTGGACCTTGTAACACCTCACTAAGGCCCATTGGTAAAGAGTAGATTTAGACAAATGGTGCGGTGTTAATAAGAATGTGTGGTTATGCCAGACACCATGTTCATGTTTATGTAGTAACCCATCAAATTGAGTTCTATACAAGAAATTAAACTATGCATGCTTTGCCTAAAACGGGAAACATTTTTTGTGTGTTGGTGGGGATAAGGACCGTGATGTGAAGCCCGCCATCGCAGTGAAGTTCACAATTAATGATGAAGATTGCGCCATGATGAAAGGTAGTGGACACTTTGGAAATTTGGCTAAGTGTGGAATGTAGCGGGTAGTACGACGCATTGCCCATTGTGGTATCGTGTCGCACCAGACCCCAGGTCTATAAATTGAACCTAGTCCACATTTTTCTGAACTTTTAACTTGTTCTTCATTTTTTAAACTCCTACGACGACTCATTTCTCCTCTCAAAATCCCCCCACACCGAGATAAGTTCCCCCACACCATTCTAGGTATTTTGTAGTGTTTCTAACACTCATTTATGGATTCGTTACACGGTTCTACTTTTACGATCATAAGGTCTTCATAGAAACCCTTTTTAAAGGCCAAATGTAGAATTGTTGGGAGTTCTTCGCCAAGTTTGGAATTTTATCCATGGTTCAGGAGAGATTAAGGTAAGTAAGGTTATCCTCGTGCGGGAACATCATTGTTCTTCCCCACACTATATTCTTCATTTGCATGAGTTCTCCTCAATGAATGAGTATGCCAAATTGTGAAAGCCTATTTTCTTGCTCACGTTAATTCACAGCGAATGTCATGAACTCGTTACCATCATTCTAAATTCTCTTCATGATCAAAACCTATGAGCCCATGATTTTCTATCAAATTATGAGAGAAAAGGATCAAAATCGTCCTTTATGTTTGAGTTAAGAATTAAAGTAGTCCTTCTCTTTTAACATGGAGCACTAATAGTCCTCCATGTTTCATGAATTGGTACATTTTTAATATTCTTCCAAATATTTGTTTATTTTTTAACCCAACCTTTCTTTTGCACGTGAGAAAATCCCCCCCCCCCCCGAAAAAAAAAAATCTCTGTTTCTTTGTCCCTCTGACCTCCTTATCAAATCAGACTTCTATTTTATATTCCCTTTCTTCTTCAATCAAACCCTTTCATTCTAAATTCCATTAAAAGCTTAGTCGATTCATGGAAGCAACTATATTGTTATGGTGCAACAATAAAAGGTAGTTGCTTCCAAGAATTGACTAAGCTTTTATTTAACTTATATCGTATATATATATATTAAAGAAGAAGAGTGATAGAAGAAAAGTACAGGAAAAAGGAGAGTGACAATCTAGAATGAAAAGACTTGTTAGCATCGGCAAGATTCGAAAACAAATATCCTACGATGACACGTCTAGTTAATTCAACTAATGTTGATTACAATTATGAAAGAACATATAACTAGAGTTGATCACAGAACAATACTCTA